ACCCTAATCACCCTCAACCCTAAACCCTAAACCCTCATCCCTAAACCCTCATCCCTAAACCCTCAACCCTAAACCCTCAACCCTAAACCCTCAACCCTAAACCCTAAACCTTGAAACCCTAAACCCTAAACCGTCAACCCTCAACCCTAAACCCTAAACCCTAATCCCTGATCCGATCCTTCTATGTAAGCACAGCCAGGTCGCTTGCTCCGGAAGAAGGGCAGATTTTGGAAAACGCTGCTGCGGTTCGATTCGACGGTCTTCCTTCAGGGTCTAGTGTTTCGGGGTTTTAGGGTTTAGGGTTTACGGTTTAGGGTTTAGGGCCCCTATAGACTCTAAACTTTTCGAGTCTATAGGGTTTAGGGATTAGGGTAGAGGGTTTAGGGTCTAGGTCTAGGGTGCGGGCAACAAGGTCCAGAGCAGTCGTGCGCGTGTTCTTGCTATGTTTGGGGGATGTGTTTTGGGGGGGTTGCCGAAAATAGGGGACCCCAATATAGTACACTAAAAGGCAGGATCCTTATTATGAGAACCCAAAATAAGGTACCCCTCATTTTCGGAAGCTCCCATATGGATGTTCTAGGATTCCATGCGGGGAGAAGGGGTAGAGAGCCCAATACCCCCTAATCAAGCAATATGTGTAACCTCGTCCTTTGAGAATCTTATGCCGGGCATGTTGAGCGTTTTGAGCGTATTGGGCACTCTGGCTCGCTGTCTCTCCAGTGTTGGATCTACCGGTTTGGTCTTGAGGTTTAGGGTGAAGAGATTACGGCTCAGGGGTCTGACGCTTCCGGCTGTAGAGTTCGGGCTCTGGCTTCTTTGATTCCAATCAAGTTTGCAGCTCCTGAACCCCAAACCCCGAAAGGGCGGAAGAAGCAGACAGAAGGTGGCGCCAATTGGAGGTTCGGGCCCGCGTCTTAGGGCTTCGGAAAGAGTTGAACGCCGCTGCCGCCGGCCGTGAGCAGGCAGTCGCTTCAAAAACAACTGTTTCAAGAGGACTTGCTGGCGATCGACTAAAGCGCGTTACGTCTTAAGCCCTACGCCCCAAATCCTGAACCACAAACTCTAAACCCCAAAAACCCTAAACCTAACCTGCCTCGCCACTGTTACTAAGCCGCTTGTAGAGTCCTCCTCGAACCCTCCAAGATGAGCCACTAAAGCCTCGTGTGGAGCCACTACCAGAACCCCTATACATCCCTCACAGATCCCACATAAATGCCCCCGTTTGGATCCCTTACGCTTAAAGATCCCTTATAGAGTTCTTATAGATCCCGCTAAGATCCCATTCATAGGGCCTTTGTACGAACCTTATAACCCTAAACCCTAACCCTTAACCCTAAATCATAAACCCTAAACCCTAAACCCTAAAGCCTAAAGCCTAAACCCTAAACCCTAAACCCTTTATCATCGGAACCCTTGAAAACGAACCTTTGAAAAGAACCCTCCGACCTCCAGCCCTGAGTAGCCAGCTCTGACCGAATAGGGTTTAGGGTTTAGGGTTTAGGGTTTAGGGTCTAGGGTCTAGGGTTTAGGGTTTAGGGTTTAGGGTTCAGCTTTTTGGGCTTAGGGTTTAGGGTTTAGGGTTTAGAGTTTAAGGTTTAGGGTTCGGCTTTTTGGGTCTAGGGTTTAGGGTTCAGCTTTTTTGGGTTTAGCGTTTAGGGTTCAGCTTTTTGGGTTTAAGGTTTAGGGTTTGGGGTTTAGGGTTCAGCTTTTTGGGTTTATGGTTTAGGGTTTAGGGTTTAAGGTTTAGGGTTCAGCTTTTTGGGTTTAAGGTTTAGGGGTTTCGGGTTCCCCCCCAAAATTGCAACAAGAAAGATGTCTTACATGGGTCGTAAACGGCTTCGTAAGGTGTCTACGGCACACGGCGGGAAGAGGGCTTTGAAATTGTAGCATCATTGCGTAATTCAGACCTGTAAGTTGGGGACTCAATGAAAAAGAAGAATCCAAAAACAAGAACTGCCACTGGGTTTGCGGTTTAGGGTTTAGGGTTTATAGGAAAGTCGCGTTCCTCTAACTCTAAACCCTAAACCCTAAACCCTAAACCCTAAACCCTAAACCCTAAACCCTAAACCCTAAACCCTAAACCCTAAACCCTAAACCCTAAACCCTAACTCGACATGGCCCATGCGCTGCTTCGGGCTCAGAGGTTCCGAAGTCTGGAGTCGGGGGCTCAGGGGCTCGGGGGCTCGGGTGTAGGCTTTCTGGTCCCCTGCTTGTAGCACGGTTTAGGGTTTAGGGTTTAGGGTTTAGGGTTTAGGGTTTAGGGTTTAGGGTTTAGGGTTTAGGGTTTAGGGTTTCATATCCAAAAAAACTAAGTCCCCGGCAATTCTGTTGAGAGGGTTTACGAGTTTACGACAACCCCACAACTCAGAAACCCAAAAGCACTTCACTACACAGGCCCTGCGGAACTGCGGATTCGAACATCTGGTATCTTAAGGGATAAACCCTAAAGCCCAAAGCATTCTGAAAGGTTTGGGTCTGCAAGTGTCAGCCTACAACGTCGCCTCTGGGCAGAATCGAAGCGCTGCAGCACTGCGTTGAGCGCGTGAGTGGAGATCTTCCCATCGTAGTCCTCGCGCTTTGCGTTGTTGAGATTTGGGGTTGAAGGCAAAGGGTCTACTTATAGAGGCCTTAATAATTAGAATAGGGTTTTGGGGGTGGGATTTTGGGTTGTGAGCTTTGGGTTGTGAGCTTTGCCGGGTTGCGTGGTTCATTGCTGAAGGTTGCTTTGGGCTACCGTCGGCCAACTAAGAAAGAGCCATCGACGAAGAAATCCCAGTCTGGTAGACGGAGGTAAACCCCCCCTAGGGTTCACTCAAGGGCTTCCTCTGTTTGAAGGGCTTCGATAAGTGCTTCTGGGGGAGGGTGGCAAGTAAGCTCAATCTGAATACACCTTAACCCACCAGAACCTACTTTTCTGTAGGGTCCCTATAAATTCCATATTAGGGCTCATAATAAGAACCTACAAAAAAGTAGGTTCTGGTAGGTGTATAGTTGAGGTTGGATAGGTCAGGGCCCGTAACAGTATGAGCTTTCGATTCTGGGTCGGACTTGAAAGCCCTAAACATCCCTAAACCCCAAACCCTACACACCATAAACCCCTAAACCCGAAACGCAGCAAAGCCGAAACCCCATAAACCCGAAAGCCTATACTCTTAAAACGCTAGCCGCTAGCACTTGTTTTCAGAGCGAGCACAGGCTTGTCTGAGCAAATCAAAACCCAAACACCCTAAACCCCTACACCAGAAAACCCCAAGTTCCATGAAAAACAAGCTTACCCGACAAGAAACCCTAAACCCTAAGATCGCCCTTCTATCAAAACAGAAGAACCAGCCGGCGCTCCGTATCCAGGTATGCGAAGATCCGGTGCAGCTTCTTATCTAAGAGGCTGCGTGCGTCAGCTTCCAGCTGCCTCTCCGGCTCCGGAAGAAAGGGGAGATTCGAGATTTTAGGGTTTAGGGCTTAGGGTTTGGGGTTTAGGGTTTATTTTCGGGCTCGCCTTGCCGGCCTTAAACCCTAAACCCTAGTACCTTCGTTGTGGTGGTTCCTTCCTTTGTTGTTTTTTGGTGGCTCCTTGTTTGGGGGTTCCTTGTTTCGGCGGTTCCTTTCTTGCAGTTCCTTGGAAGCCTTCCTGTTGCGTCGTTTTTGGCTAGGAGCTCATTTTGGGAGGCCTGCTTTGAAGGGTTCCTCTTACGGGTTCCTGTTTTGGGATAAAAAAAATCTCAAGGGTGCCTCTTAAGGGGCTTCTTTCAAGACCTCCTTCGAAGGCTCCATCTGTTAGGGTTTAGGGTTTAGGGTTTAGGGTTTGGGGTTTAGGGTTTAGGGTTCAGGGTTTAGGGTTTAGCGTTTAGGGTGGACCCCATATTTGCAAAATGCCGCTGAACTCCGAAGCCCTCAATGCAGTCATGGCCAAAAACCGACTCCTTCCTGCCTGTTGCTGCGCTGGAAGAGGGAGGTGAGCCGCGGCAGCAGCGCTGCAATGCGCATCAGACCTGCGTACCCACACAGCGTCCACAGTGCCCTATGAAGGAACTGACCTTTCGACCCAAGAAGACTCGGAACAGGGTCTAATTACGGCATAGGACCCTAAACCCTGAACCCCCTAAACCCTAAACCCTAGACCCTAAACCCCCTACCCGCTGGGTTGAGGCCGTAAGGTGTCAAGACTCTTTGCCTTGGCGTTTGGGGTTTAGGGATCGGGGTTGAAGGTTTTGGGGGTTAGGGGAGGGATTTTTGTACGGGCCTTGATAATTAGAATAGGGGTTTGGGGGGGTTCCTTATTATACTTATGGTATAACATACCCTCAAACGCTAAACCCTAAACCCTAAACCCTAAACCCTAAACCCTAAACCCTCAAACCCTATTCTAATGATTAAGGCCCCTATATTAGTCCTTTGGGGGCTTTTTGGTGTTTATGTGGCTGGCCCATGTTGGAAAACTTGGGGTTCAGGTCTATAGCTACCTTTACCTACCAAAACCTACTTTCTTTAGGTTCTTATTTTAAGCCCTTATATGGAATTACAGGGACCCCTACCAAAAAATTGGTTCTGGTGGGTTGAGGTAGTATAGGGTTCAGGGTTGAGGTTTCCACAGGATAGCTTTCAGGTCGAACCCCACTTCTCTAAACCTCAAGCCTGGCAACCCAAAACCCTGAACCACCTGAGCCTACTTGGCACCTTGAAACCCTATAAATCCTTGTAGAACCCTGCATAGAAGCCTTACAAAACCATATGATTTACAAGAGCTCTAAGTAGGACCCCGATCTGCCCCTAGAGAAGCATACTGACCCCTTCTGCAAGAAGGACCCGCTTCACAACCCTCATGTCCTGAGAGAAAAAACATACTGTCCTGATGAAGCCTTGTTCATGGGTGCGGGGCTATAGAGCCGCTATCGCATCATCATCATCATCATCATCATCATCATCAGCATCAGCATCATCATCATCATCCCATACCATACCATGCCATGTCCTGAAATGCCATGCCATACTAAACTACACCATACCATACCATGCCGTGCCATACTATACCATTGCCCCAATAAATCCCTTTTCACAGCTATCATACCCATAACTACAAGATCCTCACTAAGCCCGATAGAACCTACAAAACCCAGTAACACCCTCCAATACCCAACAGAACCCTAAACCCTAAACCCTAAACCCTAAACCCTAAACCGCAGAACCCTATAAAAACCTTGTAAAGCCCCCCAAAGAATCCCTCAGTTTTGCCAGGCCCCCGAACGTGTGAGGCGCTGCAGGCGCGAGGCGCGAGAGGACCGTGCAACGAGCATCCTCAGCAGCTTTCGGGCTGTAGGGGCTTGGACCAAATTTGAGGGTTCAGGGCTTCGGGAATGTTGAGTTTTTGTTAAGGGTTTCGGGTTTAGGGGTTTTAGGGTTTTGAGTTGTAGGGTGTTTGGCTTTAGGGCAATACAGTTTAGGGTTCTGTTCCCAAGACCCATCCTATCTGCAAGGCTGAAACAACTTGAAGGTGCAAAGGCCCGGGGTGCCTTTGAGACTGTCGAACACTTCAACCCTAAACCCTAAACCCTAAACCCTAAACCCTTCAAGCAAGTAGAACAGGGCGCTGCAAAGGCGCTGGAGTTTTCTGCAGAATCTCTTCAGGTTTAGGGTTTAGGGTTTAGGGTTCAGTCAATGAGGGGTTCGACGAGTAAATAGTGCCTAGGGGTTAAGAGCCAAGCGACAGGTACTGCGTCAGGCTCTCATCATTCGCGACGATAAAGTTGGAGGACAGGAGCAACCTCGGCTCGGCAGCAGAAAGCTCTCAAACATGCTGTAGGACGAGGGGCCGGGATAGTTAGAATAGGGCTTACGTAGGGGGGTTCCCTATTTTAACTAAATTAGAATAGTATAATATATACAGTATAATATACCCCAAACCCTGTTCTAATGATGAAGGCCCCTATATTACACCCTAGAACCCCTACACCCTGAACCCCTGAAGCCTAAACCCAAACCCCTGCCCTAGACTCCCTCAACGCTCTACCCTGACGAACCCCAAACTCCAGCCAGGGCGTGAGGTTGAGGATTGTTAGGATTCAGGGTCTAATGTAGGCCCCTTATACTTATATACTGTTTTATAGTCAATTTATAGTCAGGAACAACCAAAATGGTATAGGTAATTATTAAGACCCGTATATTAGGTTTCGGGTTCCGGGGTCCATGATGCCCTACAGTGATCTGAAATTTCTATCAACCCTCGAGACCATGACAGCCAGAAAACCCCTGAACTCCAGAAAAGCTTGCACCTCAATAGCTTTGGTTTCAGATGCAGGGATTTAGGCTGAGGACTCAAGCTTTGGGCATTGGGGCTTCGTGCTCCAGATTTAGGGCGAGAATATTAGGTTTAGAATGTAGAGCTTGGTGCAACGATGTGCAAGCTTTGGGGCTTGGCTTACAGGTTCAGAGTGTATGCATTGTGGTTTACGGGTGGAGGTTTGGGATCTCGAATTCGAAAAGCCCTGAACCCCCAAAAGCCCATCAACTGCTGCAAACGTAGGCAAGGCGCTTCCACATCCAGGTCTCGGGCAAGAGGGACAGCCTTTTGTTTCTTACAAAGGCTTCATAAAGCTTTTGCAGGGCTTGGTAAGGTTTAAGTATGTGAATGAGGCTTGGCAGTAATGTATATATCGGTTCTCTTGAAGCATGGGTACTTCTGGCTCTCGGCATGTGCATCATGCAGTGAAAGCCCGAAACATAACGTTTCTTGGCTACCAACCACCCCGCAAAGGTATCTATCATGCTTTCAACTCCGCACCGACAATCACAGCCGCAAGAATTGGAAAAAAACGAGTTATGACCAATACTGACTCATAGGGTTTAGGGTTTAGGGTTTAGGCTTTCGGGTTTAGGGTTTAGGCGAGTTATTACCACTATTGACTCATGTGGACCCCTGATAAATAAACCCCTTCCTTCGAGGCCGTACGACACAAACCATGTAAACTGTATATTCGGATCCCTACTATCACCGTTATCAAAGGAGAAAGGTTTATTCATCAGGGGTCTACATTACCCATAAGCCTTGAAGCTCACCCTAAGCCGTAGACGGTAAAACTCTAAATACTAAACCCTAAAGCCGTCAACCCCAAACCACTAAAGCCCTAAACACGAGTTCAAGACTATAGCGCTGAATGAAAGGCTTTTGGGTTTTAAACAAACCCTGAACACCAAAACCTGACCAAACCCTAAACCTAGGGTTTAGGGTTTAGGGTGAAGTTGCGGCTTGTAGAGTCGGGTTCTGGCGCAGAGGCCTCGGACCCCCTTCCGTAAACCCTAACCCCGAAACGCTCGAAAAACAAACCCATCGTAACAAAAAGTCTTGACAAGAAAGCCCTTACAGCACTTGCCGAGCACCCCGAAATTTTGGAAACACGAAATCTCTTCGAACTCCTGCGGGCTCTAGAGTTCACTGCAGCTCAGGTCCCGGCGAGGCTGCAAAGTCCAGCCAGAAGGAGAAACCTGATTTCGGGTTGAGGGCGTTTGTCCCACTAGTGCTGCAATACCTGTTACGGCTGTAGGGCTCCCTGCCGTCCCTGGGCTGAGCTTAGTGTTGCGATTATGATTTGTTGTACTTTCCAGTCAGCCATAGCTGTAGCGAGTTGCCTACATAATGTGTGTATGTATTATGAATATATATTTATATATGTAGGTAAATATGTGTATAAAATATATATGTGTGCATGTATGTATGTATGTATCTATGTATGTATTTATGCATGCATGCACGCATGTATATACATGTGTGCGTTTGTGTATGTGTATAAACATATCATAATATGTGCATGAGCATGTTTGTATGTGTATATGTATATATCCATACACACACATGCGTACGTGTATATGCACATGGACAGATATACATATATGTAGGTAGATCATGCATAACGATGTATGCATACATGTGTATATACATAGACATACATGTGTATATATATATATATGCATATACATAAATGCATGTATGCTTCATGTATTATGTACGCATATATGCGTGTGTGCATGTATAATGTAATGTAATGTAATGTAATGTAATGTAATGTAATGTAATGTAATGTAATGTGAGGTAATGTAATGTAATGTAATGTAATGTAATGTAATGTAATGTAATGTAATGTAATGTGAGGTAAT